TGCATATATAGCAGCACTGTGGTTCTCCTTCCTGGATCTTCTTAGCATATCCCGGGTGACAGCTCTTGACACACCTGGAATGAGGCACCATCTGGCAATAAAGAGATTCAGCACAAAAGAAAAGGATCTAATTTGGATTCTATCAATGGAAATGAATCAATAGTGGCTGTTGGAGTTCTTTGTCAAAGTTCCACTGAAGTATAGACTGAATTTAGAAGTGTGGCCAACATTTCCCAGTGGTTTAACAACGTGAACATCTAGGATCCCTGTGTTGAGCAGGGTTGAACGTCTGACCCTCTGACTACTTCCAGCTCTACCCTTCCAGGATACTAGGACTACTTAGTTGTGGAGCCAAAAATGTCTTCCATGTTCCACCTTATGCAGGAGCACTCTAGGGACCACTTCAGCCACCTCAGTGAGAGGACAGCAAATTACTCCTACACCATCAGCATGCTCTCTCCTTCTTCCTGGCCCAGTGCTAATTACAGTGTTATATACTAAGAGATCTCACACCCACAATTTAATTGTGGGGATTAAACCTCTTGAGACACAGCAAATTTAGCAGAAGAAATATTGAAAAAGAAGGAAAGGAGTGAGTAACACTGGTCTACAGGGAGAAAGCCTCGGAAATGAAAGTACCTAAATTTTATCAGTTGTTGTTGCTAGTCGCGAAGACGCGTCTCACGCATTGTGACTTATGGAAAACATTCCTCTAGGCCTTGCTGTCCTCCACCATCACCTGGATTGCACTTAAGCTCACACTGCCTGCTTCAGTGACCCCATCTACCCACCTCACCCTCTGCCATCCCCTTCTTCTCTTGCCATTAATTGTTCCCAGCATTAGGGTCTACTCCAGTGAGTCTTTCCTGCTTATTAGGTGCCAAAGTATTTCAGTTTCATCTTCAGTATCTGGCATTCTAAAAAGCAGTCAGGATTGATCTCCTCTAAGACTGACTGGTTTGATCTCTCTGCAGTCCAATGGACTCACAGGAGTCTTCTCCAGCACCACAATTCAAAAGCCTCAGTTCTTCAGCACGCATCCTTCCTTATGGTCCAGCTTTCACAGCCATACATTGCAACTGGGAAAACCATAGCCTTGAGTATAAGAACTTCTGTTGGCAGGGTGACGCCTCTGCTTTTTATTGTGCTCTCTAGATTTGCCATAGCTTTCCTCCCAAAGAGCAAGTTTGTTTTAATTTCTTGGCTGCAGTCCCCTTCTGCGGTGATCTTGGAGCCCAGAAAAGTAAAATCTGTGACTACCTCCACTTCTTCCCCATCTATTTGCCAGGAAATAATAGGACTGGATGCCATGATCTTAGTTTGCTTAACATTGAGTTTCAAGCCAATATTTGCGCTCTCCTCTTTCACCTATATAAATCAGATCTTTAGTTCCTCTTCACTTTCTGCCACTAGACTGGTATCATATCCGTATCGGAGGTTATTTCTCCCGGAAATCTTAATTCCAATTATTGGTTCATTATATGCTCTGCATACAAGTTAAATAGGCAGGGCAACAGTATACAGCCTTGCAGAACTCCATTCTCAATTTTGAACCAATCAGTGCTTCCGTGTCGAGTTCTCACTGTTACTTCTTGACCCACATACAAGTTTCTCAAGAGACAAATAAGATGGTCTGGTACTCCTATCTCTTTAAGAACTTGCCACAATTTGTTGTGATCCACACAATCAAACCCTTCAATCAAGCAGAAGTAGATGTTTTACTGGAACTCTGTAGCTTACTCCATGACACAGCATATGTTGACAATTTGTTCTCTAGTACCTCTGCCTTTTCAAAAACCTGCCTGCACTTCTGCTAGTTCTCAGTCCACCTACTGCTGGAGCTTAGCATGCAGGATTTTGAGGATAATTTTGCAAGCATGTGAAATGAATACAATGGTGTGGCAGTTTGAACATTCCTTGGCATTGCCCTTCTATGGGATCAGAATGTAAACTGACCTTTTCAATCCTGAGGCCACTGTGGAGTTTTTCAAATTTGCTGGCATAAGGAGCGTGGCACTTTTACTGCATCGTCTTTTAGGATTTTGAATAGCTCAGCTGCAATACTTCTCTTCCATTAGCTTTGCTGTTCCTCAGATTTTCAAATGCCCATTCGACTTCATATTCCAGGATGTCTGCTGCGAGGTCAGCTACCACCCCATCCACCCCACCGTGGTTAACAGGGACATGAAGCTCTTTCTTGTATAGTTCTTCTGTGCAATCTTGCCACCTCTTCTTAATCACTTCTCCCTCTTTGAGGTCCCTGCCATGTTTGCCCTGGATCATGCCCATCTTTGCATGAAACATTCCCTTCATATCTCCAATTTTCTTGAAGAGATCTCTGGTCCTCCCTATTCTATTTTTTAACTTCTGTTTCTTTGCACTGTTCATTTAAGAAGGCATTCTTATCTCTTCAAGCTGTTCTCTGGAATTCTTCATTCAGGCGGTGTATCTTTCTCTTTCTCTCTTGCCTTTCCTTCTTTCCTCAGCTATTTGTAAAGCTTCCTCAGACAGCCATTTTGCTTTCTTGCATTTCTTTTTCTTTGGGATGGTTTTAGTTGCTACCTCTTGTACAATAAAGTGAACCTCTGTCCATAGTTCTTCAGGCACTCTGTCTATCAGTTCTAATTCCTGAAATCTATTTGTCACTTGTATTGTACATTCATCAGGAATAAGATTGAGGTCATACCTGAATGGGCTCATGCTTGTCTCAACTTTTTCCAAATTAAGCCTAAATTTTTTAGCAAGAAGCTCATGATCTGAACCACAGTCAGCTCCTGGTCTAGTTTTTATTGCCTGTATAGAACTTCTCCAACTTTGGCTGCAGAGCACATAGTCAATCTAATTTCTGTGTTGACCATCTGGTGATGTCCATGTGTAGAGTTGTCTCTTGGGTTTTTGGAAAAGAGCATTTGCTATGAGCATTGTATTCTCTTGACAAAATTCTACCAACCTGTGCCCTGCTTCATTTTTTACTCCAAGGCCAAACTTGCCTGTTATTCTGCTTCTTTTTGGCTTCCTGCATTAGCATTCCA